ACTGCCTGTCTCCAGCCACCACAGCAACTCCAATCTGTTTATTTTCCCATTCATGTAGACTGACACAGACGAGATATAAACCATCATGTGGTGATACAAATTTTCCTGTTGTTTGATTAAAATGTTGACCGTTATATTCACGTAGTTGATTAAATGTTGAAATAATTGATCCATCACTGACAGGTGTGGGATCATCAAGCCTTACATGACAAGCATATCTGTTACATACACGTGACTCTGTTGATTAGAAAACATGCGTTTGATGTACATGTTCAATTTTACGAATGCTCTGACTATTTGATCCATAATATTTGTAAATTGTCGTTTCTTTAGCTTATGTTATCATCTCATTATATGTGTTTTGTATGCAGTTTATAATGTAAGTAAAATTGACAAACCCAAATCAAACAATTATTTTTCAAAAAATAAACTATGTATAATAATCTATAATGTTTACATAACTTTGTGAAAGACCATAAATTGAAACACTACACCACTAAATTAGTACGGTCCTTAGTTTGTGTGGTATTAGGTTATTGTTTCCTACGTATTGACACTACCAGTTTAGTAGGTCAATTAAAACCTCACAAAACGTACAACACATGTTATATACGATATGCTAAAACCGGGTCTACGACAAATTCCTGACATACACTTGCCCAAATGCCGTTTGCCCCAAGGCCGATTTCCCGAACGGACACTTTCCCGAATGCGACAAATATCCGAATGGGCATTTGTTAATATCAAATAGACATTCTTAATCAATTCAAGTTTGACATTTTGATAACACAATTCTGGGCATAAAAAACAAATTTGTTTATAATACACAAAATGAGAATCATTTTAAAAACCTCAGATAAGCGAAAATTATATTTTCGTCTTGTTTTATAGATAGCAAAAGATGTTGGCCCTACACTTTCTATAATATAGCAAATACTTATTAATTCATAATGCCTGCTTGCAGATATTAAATAGTATTTTGTTCCCTTTCAATTTGGTTAGACATTTATTTAATTATCAACATTTCAAATTTAAATTGTTAAAAATGACTTTTGGTAATCAGTAATGTTCACATTTTTCGGGCGAACGGCTTTCGGGCAAATGGCTTTTGGGCATTGTCGCATTCGGGCAAGTGTCTTTCGGGAAATCGTCCGACTCCCATTATAATCATGCAGTCCGTATGTGTTCACATTATAGTTTAATTATATATGACTTATCTATCGAAACAAGAATTACTAGAACTAAAGTTGTTCTGTTGTAGGCCTACTTAATAATGACCGATCACAAGATTTGCACAGTCAGCATTTTGTAATGTTCATTTCAGTTTACAGCAAATTAATTAGATACTAAGATGTTAAAAATGTATAATTTTCAATGAGTAAGAGATTTAGAGAGAGCGTGAGAGTGGGCGGTAAACGTATAAAACATTTTACCGATTGGTTATCATTGAGAATTATTTGATATCTTTTACTATTCCTACATTTAAACGAGGAAATCAATAGATAACTTGTCATAAAATCACTATTGTTATATAAATAAGTTTAAAAACTTTTTTTTACAAAGCAAACTTACCTATGAGATGAAAATCGTTAGACAACTTTGAAATAGTATTTTCAAGTTCACCCAGCTAAATTAAAATAAAGTGTAAAGGGAATAAATGAAACAATCACATATCTACTGACTCACTAGCTTCAATAGATAATGGTGACTTTTAAGAAAAGGAAATGATTTATTGTATATTCTTATTTAATTAATAAACTATTTATTAGTGAATTCCCAAAAATTATGGACATTACTGGAGTAATTTAGGATTTATCAATGTTGCAAATGATACAGTATTACAAACATACCTTATTTAATTTTTCTTCCCTAGTTTCAAAGTTCTTGTTAAAGATTTGAATCAGTTTGTCAATGGGCATCAATCTTTGTTGTAGGAGTTTATACATTACATTGTGCTAAATTGAAGATTTATATATTTAACTATTTTTATTGTATATTAAAACTCACATACAATTAGCATTTATATAAAAGTTATGATTATAGGTTAAATTAGTCAACGGACCCTTTTAACAATTTGAAGTAAATTGAATTGCAAGTAAGAATAGAAATGTGTACAAAAAAAGGCAGCAATTTTAAAATTTACCTTTGATTGTAACTTTACAAATTGGGTTGATGTTTTGTCCAAGATTTTATTATTTTCATCTTGTAAAGAAACAATCAAATCAGAATGGCTTTTAATTCCTTCTTTCATACTGTCTCTTATATCTTGCATCTCTTTGTTTATTTCGCGCACTTTGTTTTCATATTCTTTCATATCTAGAGACAGTTTCTCTTGTGTTTTGTTTGGCCTGGATTCTTTTTCTTTTAAACTTTCAATTTCTTTGTTCAGCTCCTTTACTTTGTTATCTTGTTCACTCATTTGTTTTCTGAGGTTTTTAAAACTCTGCTTTTGTTTTTTAGTCAGTTGTTCAATGTTTACCCCCATGTCACTCTGTTCTGTTACAAAGTTGTCTCTCCATTGTTTTATTTCTGATACGTCATCTGTAGACTTGTGTTGTGTGTCCTGTAGTGAAGATAGTGTTGTTTCAATATAGGCGAGTCTTCGCTCTAGGTCAGGATGTTCTTCAACTGAGAATAGTCGCACATATACAATTTATGATTTTAAAGGAATTAAATGTTGAAAAATAGGATCTTTAAAAAAGAAAACACAACAAAATTAATTTTCTTTTTTTTTAATTAAACAGTATCAAACCGTACAAGCTTTAACATTGTAAACGGCTTACAATGCAGCTACTTAACTAGTTATACTAAACAAAACTAAGACATACCCGCTGTATGTTTAACTTGTGTCTTGAGTTGTTTTGTAGATTCTAATTTTAGAAATGTTGCTGTTGTCTGTGTGTCAGGCTGTGGTAAAGATGGCGTTGGTTTGTTGACATCCATGTTGTCCTCATCTGGTGGATTGGGGTTTAGAATTTTATTTTAATTACAGTTGAAGTAACCAAGGATTTTATAGTACACACAAAAAATGTTGCTATGTTAGCTAGTTAAACTATAACGTAAACCATGTAATACTCTGATAGAAAAGAACTTTGAATATGATCCAAATGTATACAAATACAAATAATTCCAAAATAACCGAAATCTATATATTGTTTTAAAATTAACTTTTACAAGAATAATTATCGAAATTAAAATAAAAATTAATTAAAAAAAAACCTTAATGTTCTATAGACAATTAAGGCTCTTCAACGTTGTTTTAGGGCGAATGAGGTTACACGATGTGCTTGTAAAAATCTTTTTTTTTGTTGATATAATGATTTACAATATTCACTAAGTGGTTTGTTAGACAGTAAAATTCTTTAACTTAGTATTTGTAATGCCTGTAAACTAAACTGTAAAATAATTTCGTTGCATTCTTCTCAGTAGAAACACTTCATTACTGACCACACATGACACATGAAAGTAGGCTTTGAGATTTTAAATTATAAAAACTATTAGAGTACTGACTTAAAATATGTGACGTCATATCCAAAAAGGCCGTGGCTGCTGTGTCCAGTTCTTGTGATAGCTCGATGTAGCTGACAGATGATTGGTCAGTTTTTTCTTCTAGCCACGCCTTACTTTTTGCAACAACCTGGTGGAAGTAAACAACAACAATATTGTCAATTGGTCACGTGTTGAAGTGCTATATTCATAAACACGTGATGTTTTTCTGTGTTTTTTAACAGATGCACTTCGAAAAACGCAAAACCTACTTTATCGTGAATAAAATGATTTTTTACATTTTAAGTATTACGAAGACTTTTTAGTTTGTAATGACTTACATTTTTCATATTTCCTATAACAGGTTCTAGAACTTGTATCTTTTCTTCCAAATATTTCTTGCGCTCTGTAACAAGCTTTACCTGAATTCTTGAAGGCATCTAAATGTTAATAACACTAAATTTTTAAAAAATATGTTAACTCTGTCATCATCATTAAGCAAATCTAAAGTAGTGTTTCTTTCAGGCTACCTCCCCCCCCCCCCCCCCCGAAGAGTCTACCGCCCCCTTAACAATATATCGAAAATATATAATTTTAACAGTGTACTCCCTGGAAATTTTAGTTCGCCCGCCTCCCCCCCCCCCACCCGAAATTTTCTAGTGCCACCCCCTCTCACGCGGAGAAGAAAGTCGGAAGAAACACTGATCTAAAGTCGATTCATTTCGATCATTTTATGATAATATGTAGCATATTTGTTTTCATCAATAAAAATCTTAATTATAAATAAATACTATTCCACTGAAATGTTACAAATGTAAAAGCATAAAATAATAATCTCATCTCACGATAATTAAAGTAAAGAAATAACTGCTCATTTATTCATTAAAATAGTGAGTCCAGTGCATATATCATAAACATTCGTCAATATCTCTACATCCCTGAAGATGACTATATCAAAAAGTACAGAAAAGCATCCTTAAATATGATCTTATAGTGGAGTTACTCTTAGCATAACGTATTTTTCTAACTAAATCGTAATCCACTACGCCCATCTGTCAGAGTTAAACCTTTATCTACTGACGGTACCATAAGTAAGCCAAGCTCTTAAATTATTTTTATTTATGGTGAATCTTTATAATCATTTATATATTTATGATCTCCCTTGAGTCACGTATAATTTTAGTGTACCAAAAGCAATATAATAATTTATTGTTTAAGAAAAAAAAAATTTCATCCAGAAATTAATAAAGAGTTAATTATAACAATGAAAACAATTTTTTGAATGAGTTATAAATCTACCAAGACTAAGTTTTTGTCTTAAATTATTAAACTATAACTGGCAATCCACAATTAAATGAAAACAACTATAAGTATTGTTATATTTTTTTTAAATATGTTAAATAATGTTACAGTTAATTATGTAATACATATCAGAAAAATGCGATAGCTTTTCATTGCTTCACTTATGTTATTTCCTGCTTGCTAAAATTATACATTCGGATATTTCCGTTTTTCACTTTCATTATCTATCGAGCGTTGTGATGAATTATTTTACAATTTTTCTGTGAATTGCCTAAACATACAGTAATAAAATTCACTTTAAAAATAAAATAAAACGACCTACATACTTTTCTAATCAATGAGTATATGATATACTTATTTTATGGAATTGTTATAATATTAAACTTAAAGACAATTTAACAACTGATTAATAATTATAATAATTATTTTTAATTAAGGATGCAGTAGGGCTTTTTATTTTGTTTTAAATTCATAATTTTTATGTTGTCTGGTTGTATTAAAAGGAAATGCTATTTTCAAAATATATATTATATAGATTAAAGATTAGCAGTACCTTAAGTAGGCCTAGTCTTGTTGTGGGGAATCAAAGGACTGGAATTGGGTACAGTAGTTTAACTTCCTCTTTTAAATAATAGCGGGTTTTCCCGTTCGCGTTGTCATTATGAGAGTTATCTTTCTTGAATTGATGATTTAACTACGTGTAGATCAGCCACAATAAGACATCTATTTCATCAAAACAACATTCGATCTAAAGGTAAGTAAAAAATTGCAGACCTCATACACGTTGTTTTAATTATTTATACAGCGACTAACGTGGGCGAAGTTCAGATGCGATATGGAAACATGATAGGTTGTATATCAAGGTGGTAAAATGCGAAATCAAAGCGTAATTTATCAAATGTGGAGGCGGTAAAATGCAAGCTTAAGCTGAAAGTTAAAACAGTCGTTTACGTAACATTTGTGTCGAGTAGTTGAAAAACTTCACTGGGACTATTGCATCTGCATAGCGACCCAAGTCGGCCCCGGGGCGAACTATCAACTTTGTGCCCCCTCCCATTTAACCCCCCCCCCCCCCCCCCGGAGCTCTAGTTGAAAAGGTTGGTGGCACTTTTGAGCAGTCAATACTTTTTTTTGCCACACTTAGAGAGTGTACTATTCATTATCAATGATTTCTACCAAATTATCAGTCAACAATTTAGTGGTGCCACTTTATAAAACGCATACTGATGTAACTTTAAAATGAACATTTATTTAGCTTATCTATAAATTACATGCAGATGTCTGAGTACAACCCCACCCATGAATCTTTGAACATTTTGTTGGAACAGTTAAAGAAGATCCATGTTCATGTCAAAAGTAATTTAAGTCGTTGTGTCACACAGGTAAATCAAATATATATATATATATATATACAAATATATATATATATATATATATATATATATATATATATATATATATATATATATATATATATATATATATATATATATATATATATATATATTTAAAATGCTTTTTCAATACTATATTTTATATCGAACTTATTTGAATTATAAATCTGTATTTTAAATAAATATTGTTATGGCTACTGCCTTTGCTCACGACGAACATTTATTTTAACTGAATTAATAACGAAAACTATTTATCTACTAATCTATTTGCCCTAATTAATTAGGACAAACTAAAAACCAGGAACTGGATGGATAAAACGTCTGACACTGATATGACATTGATACAGCATGTAGTAAAGTAAAAGTTTGTATCTTGCTTTTAGAATTGGCAGCTACATGTTCAAAATTTTGTTGATTTTTTTTACTATCAGTTTTTAAATATCAATTATGTAACATATAACGGAAAAATTTAGGCATGACATTTAGTTATTTTTTGAGTGAATAGTTTTTAATTATTATGGAGCATACGAAAAGCAGGTGATGTTTATTTTTTGAACGAAGTCATTAGTTAATATATTTATTTTAGATTGATAAAGTATGTAGTAAAAATCAAATTGAAAAGTTGAAAATGATAGATAGTTTTTGTCTTGATCAAAACATATTTTATTTTATCATCGCTTTCTAAATGAAATTATATATTCTTACCAATGAAAGACTTGCTTATAAGTTTCAAATAACCCATCTTTAGACCAACCTTTTTTTTACAGAATACAACATGCAGTCTACTACGACAGTTGGACAACACAAGACACCTGGTCTAGCAGACAACGAGGAATCGCAAACTGGTGGGAGATTTTTTAAAATTTATAACAAATATTAGCTAAAAAGGTGGTGAAACTAATGTCGCCTAAAAGGTTATTTACAGTTTACGTTTACAGAAGTTGTTTCAATACTATAGTTAAATAAACATGTTGTTTTGTTTTTGTTTTCTAGTGTGTGGGAATAACTCTCATTTTACTTCTTAAACTTCTTTAAATAATACAACTTTATTAAATTTAACTTAACAGTTGCACTCACAGCTACCCAATAATTAACAATTTATCTCGTTAAATTTTTGTAACCGCTTTTCTTTTCAGTGACCTTTACTTTTTCGCTGCGTTTTTTTTATACTTTACATGCACCTGTTCAAAACATAAACTGTGACGGATTTTTGTTTCGTTTTCGCGTTCACAGTTTTGGTGAAAAGGGGACTAAAAAACAGTCATTGATTAGTTGAATGATGATGATATAGGAAATAAAATGAAATATGCAATATAATAGATAGTATAAAAACATTACACATTACGAAACGCTAACCAATAAATACTACGTAAACACTATACACTACCCAATACTCACTATTATATAATAGATTTACTAACAGTTATACTAACCTAAAAAACAATGAACAAATAATTAACACATGTGTAACAATGTAAAGAAACGTTTAACAAAACATACATGTTTTTTTCCTACTTTACAGAGAAACGTGCAGCATGTCACAGATATGGTTGTTATATCCATATGAAAGACAACTCAATGATCACATCGAATTCAAGGATGAAAACATTTGGTGAAATTAGAGAATACAACGGTCAACATTTTAATCAAACAATAGGAACATTTGTATCACCACATGATGGTTTATATCTTGTCTGTGTTACTCTACATGATTAGGAATACAAACAGATTAGAGTTGGTGTGTGGGCTGGAGGGATGTGGTGTTTGTCTAAAGAAGTGAAATGTGCAGACACTAGCGCTGCTGGGTCAGTGGTTGTTGACATGAAGAAAGGTGAAAAACGTTACTTTGAAGTGTCTCAAGCAGAACAAGCCACAAAGTTATCTCACCGCAGTAGTTTTACTATCGTTAGTTTATAGAAGTACAAACAAAACATGGTGCATGGTTAACTTTACAAACAATGAAACTTGTATCCACAATGTTAAATACCATGCAAATATATTAATCTTGCAAAAATATTTTCTATTTCTTTATATAATTCCACGTGTTATTATTTGTTTTTATATCAATACAATAAACACCTAACCAGCCCAAAGTTCTATTTACTTAAACAATATAAAATATTAAGTGTCAGGGACTGTACCAATAGGACTGAAGTTTTAAATCTTTACAGGAATGTTGTTCAGACGTTCTTTTGTTATTATTTTGTAAACACTAAAACAACATTAAACCTTTAAAGTGTGATGACTGGGACAAGGGACATAACCATTAAAATACATTTCAATGTCTAAATGTCTTCAAAAGTTTCTCCTGAGATTTTCTTTACACTTTACTTTCTCGTATACAAAGTATGAGGTAGTGTAGTAATCATGCAAAAAAAAAAAATCGAGATTTGTAATTTTTACAAATCTCGACATTTTACACCTCCTTGAGTTAGAAAAAAAACATACATTTGCAATTTTGTCCGCATGTCTCTGTGTGTGTATATGTGTAAGCCTATGTCTTTAAACACGATAACTTCAGTATTGGTACAGCTAGGCTAATGAAATTATATATATAAGTAGTATATCAAATGTGTAGTTCGGTATCAACTTTTCCGCGATTTTCAGAACATGGAACTGGGACTTATTCATATGTAATTAAAAGTGTCAGTTTATTTGTTACAAATGCTTACCCGGATGACAATTTGTATGGAAATGATAAATTAACGAATTTAGATGACACGTACCTCACTTATTCAGACGGATTGGGGCGTGTAAGCCTGATCATAGCGAAAGCGTAATATTAACTTATGTAAGAGATGTCTGTAAAAAGGACGTTTAGCTTTATGTAATTCCTGTAGTTTCTCCAATGTGTCTGTAAACCATCACAATATGTTTTAAATGTTTGAAAAGAAGTAAAGTAAATAAAGGAGAGTTTTTGACTTTGACATATATATGATGTGTGTAGTCAGCACTTTGCCTAGCCGCATTAGCTTCAAAGCTGGGTAGGGTCAGGAAACAGAATTCGAACTCGAGACTTTCGGGTTAGCAGCCTAGCGCTCTACCTCTTTGGCCACCCCGTCCCAAAATGTTTCATTGTGTTACTCATAGAGTTTGTTTTGTACACATGTTACTTTTTCGTGTGTCATCAAATATAAAATAAAAGTGTAAGTATTATGTCAAAGTTGTGTTGATTAAATTCATGTTAAATACTTTTAAATACATTTTATGTTATCGGTTATAAAAATAAAAGTTGTTTTCACTTAATCCTTATAACACTGGTTCCCAAACTGTGGATCGACTGGGTGATCGCTTTTTAAGAAATCGGAAATAGCTTAAATTACTACTTCCACTCAACAGAAATTACTTAAAATTTGACACAAGGCAGTGAACTAGATCTTTTACTTACATGTGAGATTTCGTTTATCTATTTCGTTTACTGAAAAGTTTGATACAGATCTACAAATTTAATATAATACTTATATATGAAATTTTATCAACCTAGCTGTAACGGTGCTTAAGTTATCGTGTTTAAAGACACACACACACACATACGCACACACACAGAGACATACGGACAAGATTGCAAAAGTATGTTTTTCCGACTCAGGGTGAAGTAAAACGTCGAGATTTGGAAAAATCTCCTTTTTTTTTTTTTTTTTGCATGATTTCAATATTTACTCTATACTTCGTATACTAGAAATTAAAAAAGATGTAATATATAAAAACATACTCGAGTGTAGCCGTGTTTAATCTCGAAAAACAACTTCTTATATATCAGTTTCAGATTTAACACATACAAACATTGTATTTTTATTTTCATCACATTAAACGTACATAAATTATACATTACACATAAAGCTCTAATACAGAGAAGTAAAAATGTACATAAAAATATAGTTATATGTTTATTTAAATCAAGTAGAACATTAATTGGTGATCACATTAAATTATATGGAAGTGTATAATGTTAACTAAACAAATAACATATAAACCATGTATGTGTGTGTATACATGTAGTCTACACACATAGTACGTTGATTGTGTGTATTTAACATGTTGGTTACATATTTTATTTTTGAGAATTTACCATCCAACATGTTTTATGTTGTACTTCTATAAACTAACGATAGTAAAACTACTGTAGCCGGATAACTCTGCGTCATGATCTGTGTGAGCCACTTCAAAGTAAAGTTCTTGACCTTTCTTCATGTCAACAACCACTGACCCAGCAGCGCTAGTGTCGGCACATTTCACTTCTATAGACATACAACACACGTTTTCAACCATCACATTAACTATAATCTGTTTATCTTCACTCTCATTTAGTGTCACACTGAGAAGATATAAACCATCCTGTGGTGAAATAAATTTCCCTGTTGTTTGATTAAAATGTTGACCGTTATATTCAAGTACTTGATTAAATGTTGAAATAATTAATCCACCACTGACAGGTGTTGAATCAACAAGTTCCATATAACAAGCATATCTGTTACGTCCACGTGACTCTGTTGATTAGAAAACATATGTATGATTTACTTGATCAATTTCACGAGTGTTCTGACTATTTGATCCATAATATTTTGTAAATTGTCGTTGCATTAGTTTATTTTATCATCTCATTATATCTGTTTTGTATGCAGTTTATAATGTAAGTAAAATTGACAAACCCAAATCAAACAATTATTTAAAAAAAAACTGTATATAAGAATCTATAATGTTTATTGAAACACTAGACCACTAGTTTAGTACGGTCCTTAGTTTGTGTAATGCTAGGTTATTGTTTCCCACGTATTGACCTTACCAGTTAGCAGGTCAATTAAAACGTCACAAAACGTACAACAAATGTTAAATACGTTATGCTAAAACCGGGTGTACGACAAATGCGGTTTGTCCCAAGGCCGATTGACAGAATGGACACTTTCCCGAATGCGACAAATATCATGTTATGGTCTGTCTGGCTAACGAACATTACGTTATGATCTGTCTGGGTTAGGGTTAGGGTTAGGGTTAGGGTTAGGGTTACCAATAAGTTAGCATTAATAACTAAACGTTGTATGTGTTACTTTCTCACGAGAAAAAATAAACCATTATAAGTCTTAATAAAGTTTCTTTAATTATTTGTTTTCAAAACACACTTACCGATTAAATGAATTTCTTTGGACATCTTTGAAATGGTAATTTCAATATTTTCAAGCTAAACAAAAATAAAGTTTAAATGAAATAAATTTCCTAAATATTAGTAAAAGATACTGAATAGATGATGCAGTGACCTACGCTTTTCTTTATATTTATTTAAATATTAGTGTGTTTTTATATGTTATAAGAAAATAATTTTTTTCAGCTTTTTCGTGCATGATTAAATTATTACCTTTTTAAAACATTTATAACATACCTTGTGTAATCTTTGTTCCCTTGTTCCCAAGTTCTGGTTAAAGATTTGAATCAGTTTGTCAATAGACATCAATCTTTGTTGCAGAAATTTGTACATCACAATGTGCTGAGTGAATTATTAAAATTAGACTATTTCTATTGCAGATACTTAAAAGTGTGCCTTGCCATTAGTTTCAAAATCGTAAGTATTACTGGTGGAAAACGAATCAACTGACTTTTAATAATATTTTAAAATGTTGTTCTTATAATTGGAGTAAGAAAAAAGTTTACCTTTGATTGCACTTTCTCAAGTTTCATTGTTGTATCGACAATGATTTTATGATCTTCTTGTAAAGAAACAATCTGATCAGAATGTCTTTTAATTTCTTGAGTTATACTGTCTGTTTTATTTGTATGATTTTGCAATTCTTTATTTATTGTGTCCAATTTGATTTTATGTTCTTTCATTTCTACAGAGATTTTCTCTAGTGTGTTGTTTGACTTGGATTCTTTTTCTTTTAAACTTTCAATTTCTTTGTTCAGCTCCTTTACTTTGTTATCTTGTTCACTCATTTGTTTTCTGAGGTTTTTAAAATTCTGCTTTTGTTTTTTAGTGAGTTGTTCAATGTTTACCCCCATGTCATTCTGTTCTGTTACAAAGTTGTCTCTCCATTGTTTTATTTCTGATATGTCATCTGTAGACTTGTGTTGTGTGTCTTGTAGAGAAGATATGACTGTCTCTATCTGCTCAAGACGACTGGCGTCTTGTAGAGAAGATATGGCTGTCTCTATCTGCTCAAGTCGGCTGACGTCTTGTAGAGAAGATATGGTTGTCTCTATCTGCTCAAGACGACTGGCGTCTTGTAGAGAAGATATGGCTGTCTCTATCTGCTCAAGTCGACTGACGTCTTGTAGAGAAGATATAGCTGTCTCTATCTGCTCAAGACGACTGGCGTCTTGTAGAGAAGATATGGCTGTCTCTATCTGCTCAAGTCGGCTGACGTCTTGTAGAGAAGATATGGTTGTCTCTATCTGCTCAAGTCGACTGACGTCTTGTAGAGAAGATATGGTTGTCTCTATCTGCTCAAGTCGACTGACGTCTTGTAGAGAAGATATGGCTGTCTCTATCTGCTCAAGTCGACTGACGTCTTGTAGAGAAGATATGGCTGTCTCTATCTGCTCAAGTCGACTCAATACTTCTAAGGCATTGTAAAGTTAAGTTAATCGCTGAAGTATATATGTTTATGTAATAATTAAAAATATTATTTCTTTAAGAAAAATTAACTGAATTACACATCTTACACGACTTTTAATAAAGATAGTTAAAACATATTAATACCAGATTCTTCTTGAACTTTTTGTTTTAAAATTCTTTGGTCACGTTGTTCTGTTGCTGTAGTGTGTGGTTTAGACTGGGATAAACAAGGAGTTCCTTCTTCTAATTCTAAGTGTTCTTGATTTTCATCTTGTTTAACAAACGCATTAATATATATATATATATATATATATATATATATATATATATATATATATATATATATATATATATATATATATATATATATAATATAGTGTTACATATTATTAAAATGATGTTTTGTTATTTTACGATTTCTAAAGCTATAATAATAATTTAATATATTTATTACGAGGAAACGGTACAATAATAATATTGTTATTTATTATTTCAAGAATGTTTTTGAATTTATCAATGATTATATTTTTACCCCAGATTGCCTAGAACGGTCACAAAAAAATGGACGACGGTTTTCTTGTGTTTGGTAATTGGTCCTCAAGAACATAAATATAAAGATACCTTGTATGTTATAAGATTGTTAAAATATTTACTTAGAATTTGTGAGGCTACATCCAACATAGCCGTGGTCGCTGATTCAAGTTCCTGGTATAGCACGATGTAGGTGATAGACGGGTTGTCATTTTTATCTTCTAACCAAGACTTACTTTTTTCTACTGCCTGACGAAACATTAATTTTGATACTATTTATAGCATATGTGTCAATTATTATAATTGTGTGTAATATCAGTCTAAAAAACGAGTAGCACACAATATCTTTCGCATATTAATATGTGTTTAGTAGGAATTTTTTTTTTACATTTTTCATAGCTTGAATGGCAGGTTCGATAACTTGTATCTGTTCTTCCAAATATTTCATGTGTTCTGTAACATGTTTGACCTGAATTCGAGATCGCATCTTAGTAAATACAGATCTTCTCTTCAATCTTTCTCTTGTCTTGGTGGATGTAAAATACTCTGTAGAGATTGGTTAATCTTATAAAGAAACTTTAAATACAATATTTTACTAAGGATTTATTTTGAAATGTCTACATATATAAAGATATTAAAACGCCAGATGATATGATATGTGATAGAGGTAATAGGATGTTTTATCTTGGTACTTAAGTAAGATATTTAGATTATATAGTGTTACCTTATCGTATATATTACTATTATAGTTCTGTCTGTCTTTCTGTCTGTCGGGAACGCTCTAGAGAAAATACAAGGAAATGTAAAAGATGCATAGTGAAAGACCGTGACGTCACAAGGAACACATAGGAAGTTTTCAAAATGAAACGAAATATGTACAGTTCTAAAGCCAGAAAAGTACAAACAAAAATGATGTCATTTAGTCTAGACTAAACATAGAATTAAAAAGCCATTTCCGAAAAAAACCACAATAATAATGACGTTATTGTTCTTGAAACAACACCACTAACATTACCGCCGTATTTATTTAGAGATTATTCGAGAAAGATTGGGGGAGATCACTCCCGGTTTATTTTACAATGGGCTTATATCACGTTTAAAAATCCTCTACTTTATCAAAAGTCATCGTGAATAGGAAACAATCTTCATGAATAAAGACAAAAAAAAAACATCTTGTTAGTCCATTGACCTGATTATATAGTGCAATAACGTTCAGGAAATCTGGATAGATTGTAACGTTTTGTAACAAGTGTTTCTTCTAGACCTTTTTTCACCGGTGGTGGGGGGTAACTTGATATGTTCGTCGGTGGGTAGGGGGTGGACTAAATTTTCGGGGGGAGTAGCAGACATTGGTAAATGTATATAGTTTCTATACAGTTGACTATTTTTATAAGGCATCTCAGCGGGAGGAGTGGAGGGGGGAAGCAAATGTATGTAGAAAAAATATGCATTAACCGGTGGAATTTTTCGTCCCCCCCTCCTGCCCGGATAAAAAGGTCTGAAAGAAACACTGCAAGTAGGTATCCTGTTTGGCTGTGCCGGTCAGCTCCATACGGTTTGTCTGGCCTATCATTTCTACGAACCTTTATTACTTACTCTTTAATGCCTCTTTGCTTGCGTTTACATATTCTTTTCTGCGTGCCCTACTAATTATCTCATCTAGATACATAGTGTTAGTTCCAAATGGATACGTTCTTCTTATACTATTTATAAATGTGCACCTTGATAAAAGGTTATGTCGTATACTATGAGATGAAAGATATAAATTACACAGTTACACATCAGTGTGTAGTGTGCTAGTGACCTAAATATTAAGTGTTGTTGGGTTAGTTACCTACATCGACATCAATTGTTATAAATTTTGTTGCCATAAATAATTATAAGTTCTAACAAAAATACTTACAAGAATGTTTTCTAACTAAATCACCTTTTAAAATAACTTTTAAACACTTTAATAACAGCTGTATGTGAGTGTATGTTCGTCGTCAGGACAACTCTATGACCTGTACATACAGATATAATATAGGGATTTCCCATTAGACAGTTTTAGTTTCATTATCAAGCCGACTAGATCTAAAGGACCCAAACATCAGATAAAATAATATTAGGGTATTGTATATAGTGTGAAATAATAGATTGAATTTTTAAATGTTTGATATTTAAAAAAATCAAAAACCCTCGAACACAAGTTTTAGCTAAATATTTTCTTCTACCCGTTATGCACCCCGTTAGAGTCGGCGTCCGGGCGGTCGCCTCACCCACCCTCCTTTCGCTAAACCTTTGGTAATAATTATTGACACGTCACTAAGTAAACCTACGGATAAATATGTATATGTAAAATATATTTTTAGATTTTTTGGAATGCAAGCTTATTTCTAAAGTATATTGTTATATAGTCAAATTAAATCAACTGTTATGGTCATGATTATATTAAACTACTACTAATTAAAAGAAAAAAATTAAAATTCTAAAACAACAGCCCAGATCATTATTAAAAATAAATTTTATATTTTAGAGATAAAATTAAACCAAATACTTAAATCACACAAATATAAGACTTTTGATTTAAATGTAAATAAAGTAAATTAATTACAGTTCCGAAATTGCTATAGACCTACTAGGATTTCTCTATTTTACTACAATACCTATTAAAAACAATAATACTTGGATCTAGATAACATTTTTTTTACATTTAGTTTGATTGTTCAAAACAGTAATTTAGGTAAAATAATATATAATTATCTGTAGTATTTATACGTCATTTAAATGCTTTTTATACCTATCTCAAGCGAAATTAAAGTTAACGTATATTAATTTAAACAATGAATATTCGTGTAATATTTAAATAATTTAAAATTTATTATGCAGCCTTTTGTTTTATGTGTTGATTGTTATCATTACTAAATTCAATAGATTTTATTTTATAAAAATTATCTGTTTACAGATACTTTATAATTTCCGGATTCCGTTTAGCTCTCAGGAAAAACAGGTCTAAAGAAGTTCTACAGTTCCTAGGCCACATATGTTGATCCGTGAAAGTTAGAGTGCTAACCGGGAAATCCCGCTATTACATTACACCCTGATGTCACAATGCAAGGGACATATCAGCCACTGCTCAAGTTTGGCAAAATAGTTTTTACGGTAACTTTTAGTTTTATCTTTTAGGAACACATAATATCTCGTGGCATATACAGTTGTCAAAATGTTATTAAACTTTTTCGGATTGGGATGTGTGTAGGATCTAGGTACAGACAGCATGCAGTCCAGCAAAATTTCAGATATAAAATCTAAAGTTGGTGTTTTATGGTGGTGATGTCGTCAAAATAATGTTTCAGTGGATGGTTGAGAATTACATTAAAAATATCCGATAAAAAATAAACATTATTGTATATTAAGGCTTGCTTTAAAATATACTTTTGCCTATTGAATTGTAAGGACTAAATGTGTCATTTAGATCTTAGTGATGGGTTGTCTTGTTGTACTTAAATCTACTTACTAGTCAAACAAATGATAATTACGACAATTAGGGTTTGTGTTTTAAAATTGTATATCCTATCAGAAGAGGTTGATGGTAATGGCGAAAAATGGCTGGTAAGTTCCAGAATACCCATACAACAGTATACAATTACTCCGTTGGGACAACCAATACATGAAATGATTTCTGTCCTTAATTTTAATTATCTTTGAGTTAGCTGTTTTAAAACTTGAACTATTCTATAAAAACAATAAAAAGGATAAATTAACGAATGTAGATGACAAGTACCTCAATACCTTAGGCGGAATGTGCAATGGAAGCCTGATAGTAGCGAAGTCGTAATATTATTTTATGTACGATGTGTGGTTATCGGTGTTGAAAAAGGTTGTTTATCTGTAATATTTCGGGTGTCATCTACTATAAATAAAATGTAAATATTATGCCGTTGTTGTATTGATTACATTCATAGTAAATACTATTAAATACATTTTATTTTAAATTTTATAAAAATAAAAGTTTTTTTAGTTACCCCTTATAACAAATCTAAACACATTTTATTTTAGCACAAAAGTAAAATAAAACCTAGGATACAGTGGCTACAGAACTAAAATGCACAGCAGAGCTTTTTTACAAGTACACAAGAACAAAGTGTACTATGACCACGTGATTAATTACAGCTCAAAACACGAGTGGTGAGCACTAGGGGAGGGGACATGGTACTACGTATCAACAACATCCACCCCTTCCATCCCCAACACTCATTCACTATATAAAGCAATTTGACATTGCGTTGTGCATTAATTGTAAAATTAAAATAAACGTATCAAAGTGAGAACAGATTATTTCAATAAAACCTTAAAACCTTAAATAAAACAGACAAACGTGATTAGTATTTGCAGCTAGGCTTAACTAAACCTATGGTTAGCCTCAGAGGCGTATCCAGGTTTTCGTAGTAGGGGGAGCGAAAAGAGCAAAAAAGGCGCCGAATTTTTAACACGCTCTATATACGTGTATTTTATATATATATATATATATATATATATATATATATATATATATATATATATATATATATATATAATTACTAGCTGTATGTCATTACTTCGCTATGATGTTAAATAAATTGAAAGTAACACTCTGAATAAATAAGAAAAAACACACAATGTAGGCCTACAAAACAAAAATTGTATCAATCTAAACAAAAAAAACAAACAAAATATACACACACTACAACCAAAAATAATGAACGTAACACAATCTGTTTTGTAATTCTTGTAAAAAAATTTCTTACATTAAAATTCCTGGAAAATTATTTAAGACAAGTGAAATAGGGGAAATAATCACTCTCTTAATATAAATATGTATATATCTACACATTTAATCATAAATGTCAAAACAAATAAATAATTACTTTAGAATATAATGAAATTGTTTAATACTATTGGTGTTCACAAATGTTTTTGTCTCTAATCAGAATTTAATATATAGTCATCATAAATGCTAAAGTATTACAGCATAATGAAAGTTTTTAAAATCAGAGTTGGTATAAAACCACGCTTTTCGATACAATAGAAAAACATTCGGAATAACAGCCTACATTTAACTAAATCTCGGTCATTTAGTTCATATCATATATTTTTTTCAATTAAGTACTGCTTCTTGTGTTCCTCAAAGATCATTTTTTAACATAGCGATAGGTATGGGTTAGATCACTGTATTGCTCACATACCTTTTTACTGTCCGGTTACTTTAGGTCAATTATCCAACTCAGTGTATACCTAGGCGTGACATTAATGTCGCTCTACACGATTGTGGTGGTGAGGTGTATGGGGGGGGGGGGGAGATAACCAACTCAGAGTGAACATAGCGTCAGTTTTTAGATGACTGTTCTAAACATACATATATATTACACATGTATACTGATTCAGAAATAGATTTAAATAAGTAGCAGTGGTATTATGACAATATTTTTTTTTACAGAGGGGTCCATTGGGGAAGAGGGGTTGTAACTGTTTCATATAATTTGTAATCGTAATCACTATCGCTCAAACTGTAAGAATACTTTTTAGAATGGCAAACTGATGCAGCTGTTAATACGTGTTGTAAAGGTAGACACTACTAGACTAGTACAATAATGCTTAATTGCTGCATGAAAAGAAATCTTGTGATTTACATAGATGTGCCGACCAAAAATATTTTTTTAACAAATATCCTTGTTTAAAACTTTGAGTTTAAAAAGTTTCCAAAAAGGCGCCACTTTGCTGAAAATGGTCACAGGGGGAGCGGCCGCTCCCCCTGCTCCCCCCCCTGCGTACGCTACTGGTTAGCCTACACTAAAGTAGACAGGTTAGAGTTTCTTCAATGATTGTAAACATTTGGCTGCATACTTGATTTTCAGTTCCGCTGAATAATTTGCCATTATTGAGATCTGTGGCGAAGAAATGTAAATTTTAACGTGAAAGATCTACTTAATCATCAGCTTTCGTAGTTTGTTTCCGTACAGAAAATATCACACAAAGATGTAATTTATAAAAACTTACTTGAGCGTAGCAGTGTTAAATCTACCATAACCACTACTTTCTCCACTAAGCCCTAACCCAGCTAACTAAACGAACCATTACTTATCTGTAATCCAACCCTGATCCGCTTCCCACACACAATACATACACCAAATTACTTTAGGTCTGTAATTTAAATTGTTCTAGTATTTTTTAAATTTAAAAAGGCGTATTATTCTTTAACACCATGGTTAGGTTATTATTCCTGATGTAACCATTTACCTTCCTAATGTATCTTACGTTTATTTATGTTTGTGTTAAATAGGCGAACTATTATGTGTAATTTAGATTAGGCAATGGACGGTGTAATGATTTTAGGTGATTATTGGTTACGTTTAGTAGAACGTAATTCGGTTCTATGTCTGTGCAAGACTGGGCAGTATGTCTAACGTAAATACTATTTATATACTGATGTATATATATATATATATATATATATATATATATATATATATATATATATATATATATATAATAGAGAGATGTGAATATTTTGTATATATATGTAGCCATGGCCTATTTGTGTATGTGTTTTTGTAGGTGTTAATTCTCTTATACTATGCTACTGATTTAACACTATTAAATAGTTACTTGCAATATCTTTCTGCATATTATAAAATGCATATCTTGGATTTTTTTATAAATACCAGACATAATAATATAGATGTTGTTCAGTGAAATTTTTCACACATTTATCTATTAATAGTTAATTTGCTTTTTGTCGAAAAAACGGATTTAAATTTCATATTTAACACTATTTAAAAACAGTTTAACACACTAAACTTACACAATTAAAACGCTACACTTTAAGCTCTCATACAAATAAGTAAAGTATAAGTAAAAGGAGAGTTATCTGTATGTTTATTGTAGTCCAGTAGAACATAATAATATTTCTTGTGATCACATTGAATTAATTGATGGAACTGTGTACAGATAGCTAAAGAAATAATAAATAAACAATTCATTGTAAAACATATAGTCTACACACATAGTAAGTTGTTAGCGTGTGTTTAACATAAACATAATTTATTGTTTTTAAAAATTTAACATCTACTATGTGTTGTGTTGTACTTCTATAAACTAACGATAGTAAAACTACTGAGGCAGGATAATGCTGCGCTTTGATCTGCTTGAATCACTTGAAAGAAAAGTTCTTCCCCTTTCTTCATGTCGACAACCACTGACCCAGCAGTGCTATTTCTGGCACATTTCACGTCTATATCCGTACACCACCTGCCTCCAGCCATCACACCAACTTCAATCTGTTTATCTTTACATTCATGTAGAGTGACACAGACAAGATATAAACCATCATGTGGTGATACAAATTTTCCTGTTGTTTGATTAAAATGTTGACCGTTATATTCACGTACTGCACTAAATGTTGAAATAATTGATCTAGCACTGACAGGTGTGGAACTAGCAAGCTGCACAAAACAAGCATATCTGTTACATACACGTGACTCTGTTGATTAGAAAACATATGTATGATGTACATGTTTAATTTCACAAATGCTATAACTACTTCCTCAATAATATTTGAGAATTTTCGTTTCATTAGGTTATGCTATAAACCCTAAACATTATCTCATTATATGTGTGTTGTATGCAGTTCAGAATGTAAGTAAATCTGGCAAACCCAAATAAAACATTTTTTTCTCAAAACAATAAAATGTGTATAAGAACCCATAATGTTTACATAAGTTTGTCTAAATTGAAACACTAGACTACTAGTTTAGTACGGTCCTCAGTTTTGGTTGTGAAACTACGAGTGTAGTACGTAACGCAATAAGCCACTAAAGGTACATCAAATATTGTATGCATTATATAATAATCGTGTCTACAACAAAATCCCGAACGACTCTTGTTCGAAAGCCGATTTCCCGAATGCAAGTGTCTATTCGGGTATTTGGCTGATTCGGAAATCTTGTCTTTCAGGAAATCGTCCGACTCCAGTGTAATTACATAGGGCTTATCTATCGAAACAAAAATTACTAGAACTAAAGTTGTTTTTATGTACTTAATAATGACCGATAACAAGATTTTTTATTGTTAAGTTCAGTTTACATTAAATAAATCAGATACTAAGATGTTAAAAATGTAAAAATTATCAATGTTTTCATGTTATTATTATTTTTTTTAAATTTCAGCCCTGGCTCGTATGTGACAACTTCTTAATATTAGAAACTTAAAGTGATGTTCATTGGAAACTTAAGCTCTGTAAATGTCTAACTCTACTAGGATAAACCGCTGTAGGTCGACCCCGACACACCAGGTGGTGTAATGTACCAGGTGGTGTAATGCACCATATGGTGTAATGTACCAGGTGGTGTAATGCACCAGGTGGTGTAATGCACCAGGTGGTGTAATGTACCAGGTGGTGTAATGTACCAGGTGGTGTAATGTACCAGGTGGTGTAATGTACCAGGTGAGGAAACAAACACCTGACGGAAACCCACGGGTCTAGAGACTGGCACTATGGGTGAGTGAAATGTTCCATTCTTTATTACGTTATGGTCTGTCTGGCTAACGGACATCACGTGATGGTCTGTCTGGCTAACGAACATCACGTTATGGTCTGTCTGGCTAACGAACATCACGTTATGGTCTGTCTGGTTAACGAACATCACGTTATGGTCTGTCTGGCTAACGAACATCACGTTATGGTCTGTCTGGTTAACGAACATCACGTTATGGTCTGTCTGGCTAACGAACATCACGTTATGGTCTGTCTGGTTAACGAACATCACGTGATGGTCTGTCTGGCTAACGAACATCACGTTATGGTCTGTCTGGCTAACGAACATCACGTTATGGTCTGTCTGGTTAACGAACATCACGTTATGGTCTGTCTGGCTAACGAACATCACGTTTAGGTCTGTCTGGCTAACGAACATCACGTTATTGTCTGTCTGGCTAACGAACATTACGTTATGGTCTGTACGCGGGTACGTCCGTGTAATAGAATTGCAGAGAGTAAGAGATTTAGAGAGATCGTGAGAGTGGGCGGTAAAAAAACGTATTGGTTATCATTGAGAATTATTGATAGGTTTTACTATTGTTACATTTAAACGAGAAAATCAATAGATAGAATTGTCATTCAATCTTTATTGTTATATAAATACGTTTTAAAAACTTTTTTTACAAAGCAAACTTACCTATGAGAAGAAAATCATTAGACAACTTTGAAATAGTATTTTCAAGCTCACCCAGCTAAATTAAAATAAAGTGTAAAGGAAATTAATGAAACAATCACAAATCTACTGACCCACTAGATTTTATAGATAATGATAACTTTTAAGAAAAGGAAATAATTTATTGTATATTATTATTTAATTATTAAAACTATGTATTAGTGAAATCCCAAAAGTTATGGACTGGGGTAATTTAGGATATATCAATTTTGCAAATGATTTTTTAAACAGTATTTCAAAAATACCGTATTTAATCTTTCTTCCCTATTTTCCATGTTCTGGCTAAAGATTTGAATCAGTTTGTCAATGGGCATCAACCTTTGTTGTAGAAGTTTGTACATCACACTGTGCTAAAGACCGACGATTATAATTAAAGATTAAAAGAAATTTTCTACAATTAACTATTTTTGTTGTACATTAAAACTCACATGCAATTAACATTTATATAAAAGTTATGATTATAGGTTAAATTAGTCAACTGCCCCTTTTAACAATTTGAAGTAAATTAAATTGCAATTAATAATAGAGCTTTGTACACAAAACACACCAATTTTAAAATGTACCTTTAATTGCAAGTTTTTAAATCGGGTTGATGTTTTGGCCAAAAGTTTATTATTTTCATCTTGTAAAGAAACAATCAAATCAGAATGGCTTTTAATTTCTTGTTTTATACCGTCTCTTATATCTTGCATCTCTTTGTTTATTTTGCGCACTTCGTTTTCATATTCTTTCTTATCGAGAGACAGTTTCTCTAGTGTTTTGTTTGACTTGGTTTCTTTTTCTTTTAAACTTTCAATTTCTTTGTTCAGCTCCTTTACTTTGTTATCTTGTTCACTCATTTGTTTTCTGATGTTTTTAAAATTCTGTTTTTGTTTTTTAGTCAGTTGTTTAATGTTTACCCCCATGTCACTCTGTTCTGTTACAAAGTTGTCTCTCCATTGTTTTATTTCTGATATGTCATCTGTAGACTTGTCATTGGCGTCTTGTAGAGAAGATATAGCTGTCTCTATCTGCTCAAGTCGACTGACGTCTTGTAGAGAAGATATGGCTGTCTCTATCTGCTCAAGTCGACTGACGTCTTGTAGAGAAGATATGGCGGTCTCTATCTGCTCAAGTCGACTGACGTCTTGTAGAGAAGATATGGCTGTCTCTATCTGCTCAAGTCGACTGACGTCTTGTAGAGAAGTTATGGCTGTCTCTATCTGCTCAAGTCGACTGACGTCTTGTAGAGAAGATATGGCTGTCTCTATCTGCTCAAGTCGACTGACGTCTTGTAGAGAAGATATGGCTGTCTCTATCTGCTCAAGTCGACTTAATATTTCTATGGCATTATAAAATTTAGTCAATCGCAATAGTAATAAAGTTTGAAATTTATTATAATATGCTACTTTTCCTTTAAGAAAATATATTTGAATCATTCACCTTGAAAATACTTGTTTCAATTAAATTATTTTTTGTAAAAACTATGTGTCTATAGTACCTGATGGTTTATAAAGTTCGTTAAGGACTTGATCTGTTGACTGCCTACGGCCACGTTCTTCTGTTGCTGTTGTTTGTGAGGTAGACTGGGATGAAAATGACTTTCCATCTTCTACACTTTCTTTATTTTCGCCTTGAAATTTTTAGTAAAATTGTAAAATATATAAATGGTATTTGATCAATTGAAATATATCAATTTTAAATAAGTAAAAAATCCAAAATTGACCAGATTTTACAGTCATTATTTGTATTACATTATTGATATTTAACTGATACTCCTGAATATCAATTAAAGTAAAACACAATGGTGTTTTAAAATATTTACCTAAAATGTGAGACGCTTTATCCAACAAGGCCAAGGTAGCTGATTCAAGTTCTTGACATAGATCACAGTATGTCAAAGATTCGTTGTCACTTTTATCTTCTAACCAAGTCTTACTTTTGTCTACAGCCTGCTGACATAAATCATTTTGTCTTAGCGTTAAAATGTGTGTCAGTATGTTATGTGAGAATATTGTGTTTTTTAAATGTTTGTGGTTTTTAAATACTATACTCCATCATTATCTACAACAAGCTTAATATAAAAAGCACCAAGTCAATGATGAATTCAGGGAGAGACAATAACCACTTACACCTTGCAAAGCTTCAACCACAGGTTTCAGGACGTGTATCTTTTCTTCTAAATAGTTTATGTGCTCTGTAACATATTTTACTTGCACTCTAAGACGCATCTGAATTAACAGAAATAGAATTCATATACTAGAACGAATTTATAATGACGTTTTAAAATAACGAATCTTTTCCTCACAATCAAACAATTCTTATAGTCTATATACATGGACTTGATTTATTTAAACATTACTTAACACGAATGAATTTCAGAGCATTTAAAGGGCATTAACTCATGTTTGCAGTCTTGTGATTGGTCAATTGTCTAACATGTTAGGCTTGTAAAAAGAAGTTGATGGAAATTATGCTTTTGTGTAAAGCATGGATTTTACATTAACGTTACTATTTTAAAATATAAACTCACTTTTGACAGAAGAATCAAATAAAGTTTCAGCTGTTTTTGCAATTATCTTAGACACCTTAAATGTATACTCACATTTGACAGAAAAATAAAACAAAGTTTCATTTGTTTTTGCCTTTAGCTTAGACAATTTAAATGTACGAGCCGGCCAGCGGCGTAACATACGCCGCTATTTAGTTCTTGTTTTTTCTACTTTTCAGTAATTCATAATTTGTGAATTCGACAGTACCAATGCTGACACTGAAAATATTTCTTTAAAACACTATAAGTAGCTCGTTAAGGACCATAACCCCCCCCCCTTCCTCCCCCCCCCCCCCCCCCCCCCCAACGTTTAAAATCGTTTCAAACTAAATTATCTGCCCCTAATAGCCGTGACTAAACCTGACTCCACGAAGGTAAATATAGCGTGAACCATAGCTCACTAAGACCATGTAGGGGTGGGGATGGTAGGGAGCGCGTTTACAGCTTGTTTTCTAGCGTCTCCCAGAAGAGAATTATATATATAGATACTCACATTTGACAGAAGAATAAAACAAAGTTTCATTTGTTTTTGCCTTTAGCTTAGACACTTTAAGCGCATACTCACATTTGACAGAATAATAAAACAAAGTGTTCAGTTGTTTAGCCTTTGTTTTAGACACTCTAGTTCCAGTAGAAACAAACTGTCGCTTCGCTTCAATAAACAAAATATCACGTCAATAACACAAGTTACCTCTTTCATGTAGTGATGTCTGTGTTGTATGTGTACTTTGTATTGACCCGTTCTTTGGCTTAATTTCCTGTCATTTATCTTTTCAATGAACATATACAACATTTTACTAGCGTTATCATTAATTTTACACATGCTATGACTTTATCAGCTATATCTACTGTGTGAAGGTTTGATCAAAACACGGCGAGTATGTGCCAGCTGATCGTGTATGTGTAGGTGCCTGTACCCTACTATAGGTAGTACATCAGCCAATTACTAATTTATATAAACAATTTCGTCAGCGTAGAGTAAATAGTTGCATTAAGGGCTGTAAAGTTTCATGGGCAAACTGTAAAAGCAATTGTGTATTTAAAATGACTTAATACAAGTTATGATATTAAAAACCTGATTTTCTCATCACATATGTTGTTTCAAATGTTGATATGCAGGTCCTTAAATGTATGAATTTGCTATTTCAATATAATTCTTAATTTAACATCTTTTAATAAGAAACAACAAGAAAACAAACATACACCATGATTCTATTAAAAAAATGTTCCAATAAAATAAATTTTTATCAAACAACAGCTAATGTCATTTGTAATTTATACTCTGATATATGCATTGTAAAATTTAGTATATATGCTTTTATATCTCGATTTCAACCCTCTGGCAGATAAGGCTCGATCCCTCCCAACACTAAAAAAATAAGAACGAAGAAGAAGAGAAGAAGATGCAAGAGCCATGCTTCAAGCTGTGAGTGGGTTTAGTATTATTAGATTATAACTTTATATTCTAAGGTGAAAAAATAAATATTTGTCCTGTTTCAGTGTTTTAGATAATTGCATGAAGCCATGCTTTAAGCTCAGAGTGGGTTTAGTATTATTAGATTATAACTTTGTTTTCTAAGGTGAACAAATAAATATTTGTACTGTTTCAGTGTTTTAGATAATTGCTTGAAGCAAAAGCTGGTTGTGTGTTCAGTATTGTTAGATTATAACATTGTGTTCTTATGTAAACAAATAAACATGTCTCCTGGTTCAGTCTTTTAGATAATAAATTTGTAATCAGTTCTAGGTCAAGATTTTTATGGTGTTGTTTCCATCTAGATCAGTATCAGGATATCTTCAACAGATTGTGTGTGCTACGTGTCGTGTAATATTGTCAACAGTTTTGGTTATTGATAAAATTTCATTGTATGAGGAAAAAAATGTAAGTTCCAATGTTGACTTCATATAAATCGTGCTAGAAATGTATAACTATAATATAAAAAGTGTTTATTACAATTTCATTATATCAATTGATATTAAGGCTTTACGCTAAAAGCTATTTTACAAATAGAAGAACAATTCAATTTGAAATGATAGATTTCAGCACTGTTTAAAAATAAGTATGTTTCGAATGAACATTATAGAATTCATGTGATAGTGTGGTCAGGTGACACAGCCTTGGAGTGCTAACCTGAAAGTCTCGAGTTCGCAACCCGTGCTTGAGTCTAAAGAACGTCCCTGATTCCATCCAGCTCTGAAGGATACTTGACTCACGACCCCGTAACGCCGACTGTCACTAAAACGCGACATATAATTTTGCTTAGCGTATACTTGTTGGTACATTTATCCTAATGTTGCCGGTCGTTGTGTGTTGGGTACATCAAGACAGTCATCTCGGTACCACTGGTCACTCTGTCAAGTCGAAATTTTATGACGTCACGCTCTCTTGACTTACGCGCGTCGAAAATAAATGTCTTCGTGAACTCAGCCTATTATATTGATTATTGTTACCAAATAGGTTGACCGTTTTTACTACAATTATACTAATAGCTTTATTATTCACTCTGTTATGCAAATTAATAGTATAATTCACATAAGAGAATAATTTAGGAAATTATCTTCCGATTACGCTTTGTTGCGTTTACGTGACATCCGGCAACAAGACATAAAATTGTACTTGGGTGCCAAGCAAGTGTACAGGAAAGTGATGCTTCGCCTAGCTGTCGTTGCTTCAAGCTCTAAATAAGGAAGGATGTTAATATAAGCTTCTCCTTTATATATAATGTACACTTTCAAACGTTATGGGCCATGAGGCGGGTGAGGTAGAGTTCACCTGTTTCATTGGCCTCGGTATATGGACAGAACGGTGCTAAAAAAGAGTGGTCATGCTGTTGGGTACAATATGAAGAATTTAGCTTTGAAATAAATATCCATTTAATTTCTTAACTTTGACCGTTTATAATTCAAAACTTTAGGTTATTAAAATTGACTTTTACCGCTGTTTGTGCTTCCCTACTGTATCTAGCATAACAAGACAGGCCCTCACCTGGAATCCACAAGGCAAGAGGAAGAGAGGCAGACCAAGAAAGACCTCGAGACGTGACCTGGAAGAAGACACCAAGAAGATTGGATACACCTGGGGACAGTTGGAGACACTAGCCCAGGACAGAGACGTCTGGAAAGCTCTTGTCAGCGGCCTATGTCCCAGTAGGGACGACAGGCAAACATGACATGACTGTCCGGCAGCGGACGACCCCACCCGCTTCCCCTCTACATCAACTGGACCCATGGGTAGCCTACACTAAAGTAGACAGGTCAATGCTACTTCACTGATAGTAATTCTTTAGCTGTAGACTTGTTTTGTATTAAGATACTAGTACAGAAAGCAAACCAAACACTTGCGATAATATAAAAAAACCACCAATCAAACAGCCACAACAAATAAAGCAATCACACTGAACTTAATCAACACGACTAGACAAAGAACAGAAGACGAAAACAGACTAGTAGCAACGGCTATTTATGGATCGACTATATTGGAATATAGAATAAGATCTTGTTTTATTTTTAAAATGTGGCGAACAGATATACATTTTAACGCGAATCATCTTCTTAACGGTCTTGAGAGTTGTTTGATGTGCGAAAACACGTAAGTATAGAGGTTTATTTCTCATTTAAAAAAAGAAATAAAACTCGAGTAGCCTTGTTTAAGTTACGTAAAAATTACATTCTTCACTAAACCTTAACCAAACTAAATAAACTAAGCTTTTTTTTTAAATCCCTAATTAAACCCATACCCCCCTCTCCACACACAATATATCTCCTTATTTACTGTATGTCTTTATATTTTAAGTTGTTTTAACTTTTTAAAAGGCTTATTATTTCTTTAATCTGATGTTTATATTACACGCGAAGTAACTGTCTGCGTGCCTAATGTTTCTTACTTTTATTATGCTTGAGTAACATAGGCGGTGCTGTATGTATAATTTAGATAAATAAATGGACAGAGTCAAGATATTAGTTGATTAACGGTTGTGTTAGGATCAACACAGCTTAGCTATATGTCTCTTAGTAACAGGGTAGCATGTCCAACATGCATTATATATATATATATATATATATATATATATATATATATATATATATATATATATATATATACATATATATATATATATATATATATATATATATATATATATATATATATATATATATATATATATATATATATATATATATAATATGGTCTATATATTGTCAGACTTATGTATTGTCTATTTATGTGTGCGTGTTTGCGTAGGTGTTAATTCCCATAAACTGTTACTGACTAGAATCACAAGAGCGGTTTTTGTTTCGAGAATAATTGTAATTTATTTATTTTTTTACCTTGAAACAAAACAAAAATTATTGGCAGTATCTTTCAAAATATTTACAAATTCATAAGATGGATTATTTTTTTAAAATATATCTCACACATATTTAAGTTACCAAGTGAACTTATTCCTTTTTTACTTTCTCGTATATACGAATTATAGAGAAAGTCTTGTAATCGTGCAAAAAAAAAAATCGAGATTTTTACAAATCTCGATGTTTTACATCTCACTGATACGGAAAAAACATAATTTTGCAATCTTGTCCTTATGTCTGTGTGTCTGTGTGTATGTGTGTGTGTGTGTAAACACGATAACTTGAGTACCGTTACAGCTAGGTTGATGAAATTTCATCTATAAGTATTTTATCAAAATCGTAGATCCGTATCAACTTTTTCTACTTTGAATTTTTCAAAAGCCTATAACATGAGTACTATTTCAGATAGATAAATGAAACTACACATGTAAGTAAAAGATGTAATTCTCTTCGTTCTTTCAAATTTTGATTAATTTCCGTTGACGGGAAGTACTAATTTACGCTATTTCCGATTTCTCAAAAACGCATCTAAATTTATAAAGTACTAATAATATTGCGCACCATTATGAACATCTTTATTTGGCGTTCGCTTGGTGTGCAATACTTTTTTTTATGAGATTCTATTTTATTTTAAAAAGTTTATGAATTTAAAATGGATTAAAAATCATAACTATATCCCGAGTTCCCATCCCCTGTTGTTTTATATAAGAATATTCGAGAAAGTTAAGGGGAGATCACTCCCGGTTTATTTTAATAGTTCATTGTGTTCGTCCGTAAATGCGGATTTTAATTTCAAAATTTACACACAAATACTAGGTTTTGTTTTTAACAAATGCAATGATATACATATACATAGAAACAAAAGATTTAAAAAACTGATGTATCTCATATGTTTATTGGGGGTCCAAAATCAAACAACTGCTGCCTTGTAGTTTGTTCTTGGTTGGACAAAGGCTATGGAAGCAAACCCAAAAAGAAAAGCAGGCTGAAATCGGAGTCAATGGCCTCAATGGCGCATAACCCATTTACACGTAATCCTAAATTGTGATGGAAGCATGGTCGAGTCGGAAAAGCTCATGTATGATAAATTCGAAAAAAGTCTCGAGTTCAAACTCTCTGGCAGATAAATCTGGATCCCTCCCAACACTAAAAATTAAGAACGAAGAAGAAGAAGAAAGATATGTTTATTGTGGTCACGTACAATATATTAATTGGTGATCACATTGAAAAAGTTAGAACTGTATAATGATGACTAAAAAAAACAACATACAAACCATTAAATGTTTATGTACATGTAGTAAGTTGTTAGCGTGTGCTTAACATGTTGGTTACAAGTTTTACTGTTTTGAGAATTTACCATCAACCATGTTTTGTGTTGTACTTCTATAAACTAACGATAGTAAAACTACTGTAGCAGGATAACTTTGCGCCTTGATCTGATTGAATCACTTTAAAGTAAAGTTCTTGACCTTTCTTCATGTCAACAACCACTGACCCAGCAGCGCTAGTGGCGGCACATTTCACTTCTATAGCCGTACAGCACCTGCCTCCAGCCATCACACCAACTCCAATCTGTTTATCTTCCCTTTCATTTAGACTGACACAGACAAGATATAAACCATCATGGGGTGATACAAATGTTCCTGTTGTTTGATTAAAATGTTGACCGTTATATTCACGTACATCCCAGAATCTTGAAATAATTAATCCAAGACTGACGGGTGCGAGATCAAGCGCCACATGACAAGCATATCTGTGACCTACACGTGACTCTGTTGATTAGAAAACATATGATTAATTTTACGAATGTTCTGACTACTTGATCCATAATATTTGTAAATTGTCGTTTCATTAGTTTATGTTATCATCTCATTATATGTGTTTTGTAAAACATAAACTGTATATAAGAATCTATAATGTTTACATAACTTTGTCCAAGACGATAAATTGAAACACTAGATCACTAGTTTAGTACGGTCCTTAGTTTGTGTGGTGTTAGTTTATCGTTTCCCACGTATTGACCTTACCAGTTTAGCAGGTCAATTAAAACGTCACAAAACGTACAACAAATGTTTAATACGTTATGCTAAAACCGGGTGTACGACAAATTCCCGAAATACACTTGCGCGAATGCCGTTTGCCCCTAGGCCGATTTCCGAATGGACACTTTCCAAAATGAACATTTCTTAAATACCAAATAGACATTCTTAATCAATTCAAGTTTGCCTTTAGGATAACACAATTCTTGGCATAAAAACAAATGTGTTTATATTTTTGAAAATGTGTATACTTTTAAGATTTAACATTTAATGTTTGAAAATTGAGATATTGCTGTAAAAAACGTTGTTCTTTAATAATGTAATGCTATGTTGGCTGCGGTGTTTTTATACTCTCTTGATGTAAGTTTTGAAAACCTTGTTTAGCCGACGTGTTGCGGTGGTTTGATAGCGTTTATGACACGGTGTAGTCGGCGCGGCGTCTCGTTACGTTGAACAGAGACGCGTTTGTTTGATTTATTTTGTTATGCTTAACTTGTGTGATGACTATTTCACAATTGAATGAAGCGAGCCTTAGGCAGCGAATTTAAAAACTAAAGGTAGTCAATTATATTTGATCTTCATTTAATGCAGCTTGTTTAGATAATGTGTTGAATCTATTACTTAATACAGAAAGTGAGAATCATTTTAAAAACATCAGATAAGTGAAAATTATGTTTTCGTCTTGTTTCATAGATAGCAAAAGATGTAGGCCCTACACTTTCTATAATATAGGAAATACTAATTAATTCATAATGCATGCTTGAAGATATTAAACAGTATTTTGTTCCCTTTCAATTTGGTAAGACATTTATTTAATTATCAAAATTTCACATTTAAGTTGATTAAGAATGACTATTTGGTCATCTGTAATGTTACCATTTTTCGGGCAAAAGGTCTTCGGGTAAGTGGCTTTTGGGCATTTGTCCCATTCGGGCAAGTATCAATTCGGGCATTTGTCCCATTCGGGCAAGTATCAATTCGGGCATTTGTCGCATTCGGCAATTGACCATTCGGGCAGTTTAATTGTATATGGATTATCTATTGAAACAAGAATTACTAGAGCTAAAATTGTTCTGTTGTACTTAATAATGACCGATAACAAGATCTGCATAGTCTACCTTTAGTATTTTTCATTTCAGGTTAAAGTCAATTAATGAGAGAATAAAATGTGACCATCACGAACGAACATCACGTTATGGTCTGTCTGGCTAACGAACATCACTTTATGGTCTGTCTGGCTAACAAACATCACGTTATGGTGTGTCTGGCTAACGAACATCACGTTATGGTCTGTCTGGCTAACGAACATCACGTTATGGTCTGTCTAACTAACATCACGTTATGGTCTGTCTGACTAACATCACGTTATGATCTGTCTATCTAACGAACATCACGTTATGGTCTGTCTGGCTAACGAACATCACGTTATGGTCTGTCTGACTAACATCACGTTATGGTCTGTCTGACTAACATCACGTTATGATCTGTCTATCTAACGAACATCACGTTATGGTCTGTCTGGCTAACGAACATCACGTTATGGTCTGTCTGGATAACGAACATCACGTTATGGTCTGTCTGGCTAACGAACATCACGTTATGGTCTGTCTGGCTAACGAACATCACGTTATTGTCTGTCTGGCTAACGAACATCACGTTATGGTCTGTCTGGATAACGAACATCACGTTATGGTCTGGCTGGTTAACGAACATCACGTTATGGTCTGTCTGGCTAACACATCGTTATGGTCTGTCTGGCTAACGAACATCACGTTATGGTCTGTCTGGTTACGAACATCACGTTATGGTATGTCTGGTTAACGAACATCACGTTATGGTCTGTCTGGCTAACGAACATCACGTTATGGTCTGTCTGGCTAACGAACATCACGTTATGTTCTGTCTGGCTAACATCACGTTATGGTCTGTCTGGCTAACATCACGTTATGGTCTGTCTGGCTAACGAACATCACGTTATCGTATGTCTGGCTATCAAACATCACGTTATGGTTTGTGTGGCTTACGAACATCACGTTATGGTCTTTTCGTGAAAGAGAATGGCCAATATTTGCAAGTCGGGAGGGTGTTGAAAAGGAGAGAAAGGAGAGATATTGAACAGAGGTAAGCAAAAGTTTTAATTTGAATACAGATCGGTTAGCATCGTTTAGTGTACGTCATAGTATTAGTTGCGTAACATTATTACCACTAATAAAGTATATTTACCGTTAAATCATTATTGTTTTAAGATAATTCTTTATTTAGTTTCATTTTTTGTTTTTGTTTTTCAAAGCACACTTACCGATCAGATGAACTTCTTTGGACAACTTTGAAATAGTATTTTCAATATTGTCAATCTAAATAAAAACAAAATATAAATTATATAAATGAAACAATCGCATAGTTACGTTTAACTTCAATAGCTCTACTGACAATAATTGGAAATGGCAACTTGTAAGAATAAAAAATAATTTAAAGATGTTTATAAATATAAATTAATTAACGAAATCAGGGGGTATTAATTGGACTAATAACAAGGTGTTAATAATTAATGCGTTGCAGTTTTATTTTTCTGTTTTTATTACACAAATTTCTTCTTTATTCTTTCTTCTCTAGTTTTCAAGTTCTGGTTTAATATTTGAATGAGTTTGTCAATAGGCATCAATCTTTGTTGCAGGAGTTTGTACATCACACTGTGCTAAATGGATTATTTTTAATTTGACTATTTCTATTGCATATTAAAATTGCTTAGATTAACTTATGCCTTAAAGTTAGTTTCAAAATCAAAAGTATGACTGGCAAAAAATGTAATCAACCGACTTTTAATTACATGTTACAATTTGGTTATAATATATAGACTTGAAAACTTGAAAGTAGGTGTATAAATGTGTGCCTAATTAATTATAAATGTGAATGTTTACCTAGGATGTATCGACCAACGGGTCAGTTGTAGGTTAGATAGATATAGGTTAGAATAATCTAGAATTAGGAGAGAGTGCGTGCGTAAGTTGAGTTTACCCTAATGTATTGTTAACCCCGATGTGTTGATGTATTGTTATCCCAAGGTCGAATGCGGTATAATAGTTGGAGTGAATGGTTGCCAGCGGTTAGTTGGTAGCGATTAGGGCGTGGGATACTCTCTTATGTGAAGAATTGAGTCCAAATAAAATGTATACTATATGTGTAACGAATCGTTGTTGAGTTGAATCGAACCCGGACGTAACACAATATTTTATTAATATATTTTTCAAAAGATATAATCTGATCAGAATGTCTTTTAGTTTCTTGGGTTATACTTTCTGTTTTATCTGTGTGATGATGTATTTCTTTGTGTAAGTTGTTTTTATACTCTTTCATATCTAGAGACAGTTTCTCTAGTGTTTTGTTTGACTTGGTTTCTTTTTTTTTTTTAAACTTTCAATTTCTTCGTTCAGTCCCTTTACTTTGTTATCGTTTTCAATCATTTGTTTTATGTGGTTTTTAAAAGTCTGTTTTTTTTTTCGTTAGTTGTTTCATGTTTACCCCCATGTCACTCTGTTCTGTTACAAAGTTGTCTCTCCATTGTTTTATTTCTGATATGTCATCTGTAGACTTGTCATTAGCGTCTTGTAGAGAAGATATGGCTGTCTCTATCTGCTCAAGTCGACTTAATATTTCTGTGGCTGTATAAAATTAAGTCAATCGCAATAGTAATAAAGTTTGAAAATCATTATAATATGCTACATTTCCTTTAAGAAAATATATTTGAATCATTCACCTTGAAAATATTTTTTTAACTTAATTTTTTTTTTTTTTTGTAAAAATATGTGTGCATAGATACCTGATGGTTTATAAGGCTCGTTAAGGACTTGATCTGTTGACTGTCTACGGCCATGTTCTTCTGTTGTTGTTGTTTGTGAGGTAGACTGAGATGAAAATGACCTTCCATTCTCAACAATGTCTTTATTTTCGTCTTGTAATTTTCAGAGAACATAAATTAATTTAAATATGTGTAATAATAATTCAGTTGTAGTTTTACATAGTATTGAATATTTATTAATGCAAGTTTGTGTGTTAATTTTTGTATGTAAAATACTTTCTTTAGAATTGATATAAATGATTAATGTTATTTGATAATATGAATCTAATATATAAAGCTCAGTTCTGTATGTAATGAATATATTTGTCGTTGGTCTTGGATGAATTTAAGTGTTAGAAAATTATCGTGCGCATTTGTCTAAATTTATGAGCTAAAAAATTACTATTGAAAGTGTTGGGAAATAATTTTCATTTTTCAAATTATAGTAATAATTGTCGGCATGTTCATTAAACACAAGTTTAAAAAAAATATAATCTTTTACAAAAATTCTAATTATGTCTTTATTTAGTCCTATAGCACTTACTTCCCTTTTATAAATTAGGAAAACACAATTACTTCCCTTTATAAAACCATTGCATTTTGTGGAAAATAATTTACTTTTTAATTACTTTGTTTTGGTGTTGGGAAAAAAAATTACATAATTAGCGGGGATTGATCAAGTGCAAATGTTGTAGGTATTTTACGGATAAGCTTGGAGTATTATAATTGTTCATCAAATTGAAACATGCGCGTTCGTTTAAGTGAGTGCAAAAGACTATGAATAAGTTGGGGTACTATAGTCGTTCATTAAGCTAAAACAGGTGATTCCGCCCCGGGCGTTTATGTTCGCGTTAGTGTTTTCTTTGTGTTTAGGTGGGTTTGCGTTAGTGGTTGCGTTTTGATTTGGTTGGTTTTTGTTCTTTCTTTTTTCGTTTTTGTTTGTGTTTTTTTGTTTGGGTTTATATTTGTGTTTTTGGTTGGTTTTGCGTTTGGATTTGGTTTGTTTTCGTTTGCTTTTTCGTTTTTTTTTTGTTGTTGGTATTGGTGTTTGTGGTTGGGTTTGTTGTTAGGTTTTTGTTTTCGTTTTCTTTTTTGTTTGTTTTTTCTTTGTGTTTGTATTGGTGTTTGTGGTTGTGGTTGGGTTGTTGTTAGGTTTTTGTTTTCGTTGTATTTGTAATTGTAATTGTGTTAGCGTTATGTTTGCGTTTTGTTTTTTTGGTTGGTTGTGGTTTGGGTGGGCAATGCCGGGTTTATGATGATTACTAAACACACAGGTAATGGTCTTTAACAGAAAGGTTTTTCACAGAAGCCAGAGCAGGGCCTGGCCGGGACGGCTAGTATATATTAATTTTAAATAAATACAAAACATATTTAATTGTCCAGTTTTTACTTTATTATTTGTATTAAATTATTGAGATTTAACAGATTATCAATTAAAATAAAAGAGACATATTTTAAAATATTTACCTAAGATATGAGCCGCTACATTCAACAAGGCCAAGGTAGCTGATTCAAGTTCTTGACATAGATCACAGTATGTCAAAGATTCGTTGTCACTTTTATCTTCTAACCAAGTCTTACTTTTGTCTACAGCCTGCTGACATAAAACATTATGTCTTAGCGTTTAAATGTGTGTCAGTATGTTATTTGAAAAAATTGTTTTCTTTAATGTTTTTAGTTTTTAAATACTATACTCTATCTTTATCTACAACATGCTCAATATAAAAAGCACAAAGTCAATGATGAATGCAGGTAGAGACAATAACCACTTACAGCTTGCAAAGCTTCAACCACAGGTTTAATGACGTGTATCTTTTCTTCTAAATAGTTCATGTGCTCTGTAACATATTTGACTTGCACTCTAGGACGCATCTGAATTAAACAGAAATTCACATACTATAACGCATTTATAATGACGTTTTAAAATAACGAATCTTTTCTCGACATCGAATAATCAAACACTTGATTTTTTTATATAAACATTACTTAACAGGAATGAATTTCAGAGCATTTAAAGGGCATTAACTCAAGTTTGTAGTCTTGTGATTGGTCAGTTGTCTAGCCTGTTAGGCTTGTAAAAATGAAGTTGATGGAAATTATGCTGCTGTGTAAAGCATGGATTTTACATAAACGTGACTATTTTAAAATATAAACTCACTTTTGACAAAAAGAATAAAACAAAGTGTTCAGTTATATAGCGTTTGTTTTAGACACTCTAGTTCCAGTAGTAGCAAACTGTCGCTCTGCTTCAATAAACAATGTATCACCTCAATAACACAAGTTACCTCTTTCATGTAGTTATGTCTGAGTTGTATGTGTACTTTGTACTGACCCGTTCTTTGGCTTAATTTCCTGTCATTTATCTTCTCGATAAGCATTTGACACATTTTATTAGCGTTATCAACCATTTTAAACATAAAATGACTTTATCATCTATATCTACTGTTTGAAGGTATGATCAGTACATGGCGAGTAGGCCTATGTGCTAGCTGATCGTGTATGTGTAGGTGCCTGTACCCTACAATAGGTAGAACATCAGCCATTCACTAATTTATATAAACAATTTCGTCAGTGTAGAGTAAATAGTTGCATTAACGATCTGTAAAATTTCACAGGCAAACTGTAAAAACAATTGTGTATTTAAAGTGACTTAATACAAGTTAGGATATTAAAAACCTGATTTTCTCATCACATGTTGTTTCAAATGTTGATATGCAGGTCCTTAAATGTATGAATTTGCTATTTCAATATACTTCTTAATTTAATACCTCTTAAAAAGCAACAACAAGAAAACAAACATACACGTTTATTCTATTTAAAAATGTTCCAATAAAATAAATGTTTATCAAACAATAACTAAAATCATTGGTAATTTATACTCTGATGTATGCATTGTAAAATGATTTAGTATATATGTTTGTTTTTTTAAAGCAAATTGCTAAGATATTTTACTTATCTCTAAATAATGTTTTTTCTCCAAAAGCTAAATGAATATTAAAATGTAATGTCAAATTACAACGTCATCCGGTCTTGCATCAATTTGGTGCAGGACTAAGTAGCAGCTACTCCCGACGTGTGCGAAAGTTACCTTAAAGTAAGTTATTAAGGGCATCAGGTAGTATCCTGACCCTCTGTGCAGGACGCCACTCAACAAATCCCTGGGACTGAGATAGTCGCTCGGGAACACTGGGAGCCCGATCACACCCTTTTCTCTTTGGTTTTCTTGTACTGGGCGTGTTGTAAAACAAAATATCACATCCACCAGTTCCCAACCGACAGTACATTTATTGGTTTACATTATTTTATTATAACTAAAGTCGTCTGTTTAGTGTCACGTATACTTTAGGCTACATGCAGAGGTATCAATAAATGTATTTTTTAAAAATGTTTTAAAAATGACCATTTATCACACACACACAAGCCGCCTATTCTCCCCCACACCTTGACCACACAACAACGACAAGCCACACTGATACACGTGTGGACTCACACATTTTTAAAGATGAAATCACTAATATCTACTATCAACAGAGGCCCGTGTATATAAGCCTTACATGTGTGACATCTACCTAGATCACAACACACCGGTAACTGCTGGATCAATTCTTTCTACTTTTCAACTTGTGTGGGAACCTAATGGCAGTCAATTTAATCAGACATTAGGAAAATTTGAAGCACCAGATGATGTTGACTATCTTGTTATTGTAACTTTACAGGGGCGTGAAGATAAACAAATTACAGTTAGTGTTTTAAAGGGAGATAACGAATTGCAAAAGCTAATTTGTGTAAAGTTTGCTTTAACTTCTGCTTGGGGCACTACTATTGTTGCCATGAAGAAAAGAGAAGCACTTTACTTAAAAGTGGATGGATCAGATGCAGAAGCCATGCTTCAGTATAGTTTTATAACATTGTGTTTTTGTGTAAACAAATAAACATTTCTCCTGTTTCAGTGTTTTATTGGGTCGGCGTGGTCGAGTCAGTAAAGCTCATGGTTGCTAAACCGAAAAGTCTCGAGTTCGAACCATCGGGCAGATGAGGCTCGTTAGCGGGGGACAGCCACTCTTCTATGAGAGACAACTCCAAAATTAAAACAACTGCTGCCTTGTAGTTTGTTCTTGGTTGGACAAAGGCTATGGAAGCAAATCCAAAAAAAAAAAGAAGGCTGAAATCGGAGTCAACGGCCTCAATGGCGCAAAACCAGTTGACACGTAACGCTTAATTGTGACTGTCACTAAAACGTGACATATAATTTTGCTTAGCGTATACTTGTTGGTACATGTATCCTAATGTTGCCTGTCGTTTTGGGTTGAGCACATCTAGACAGTCGTCTCGGTACCACTGGTCACTCTGTCAAATCGAAATTTATGACGTCACACTCTCTTGACTTACGCGCGTCGAAAAAAAATGTCTTCGTGAACTCAGCCTATTTATATTGATTATTGTTACCAAATAGGTGAACTATTTTTACAACAATAATACTAATAGCTTTATTATTCACTCTGTTATACAAATTAATAGTATAATTCACATAAGAGAATAATTTAGGAAATTATCTTCCGATTGCGATTGTTGCGTTTTCGCGACATCCGGCAACAAGACATACAATTGTCCTTGGGTGCCAAGCAAGTGCACAGGAAAGTGATGTTTCGACTAGCTGTCGTTGCATCAAGCCATAAATAAGGAATATAGTCTTCTCCTTTATATATAATGTACACTTTCAAACGTTACGGTCCATGAGGCGGGTGAGGTAGAGTTCACCTGTTTCATTGACCTCGGTATATGGACAGAACGATGCTGAAAAACAGTTGGTACGTCCCGGGTTAGATTCGAATTCAAGAACGACTCGGGTTAACGTTCGATACGTTTATTAGGTCTCACATATCACATTTCAATATAGCCCTCGACCTAACCCTGCCAACTAACTAACCCCTGACAACCATTCACTCCAGCTTTTATACCGCATTCGACCTTGGGATAACAATACACAAACACACCGGGGTTAACAATATTCTAGGGTAAACTCAACTCACACACTCACTCTCCCCTAATTCTAGATCATTCTATCCTATTCTAGTCTAACCTACAACTCCCCGGAATGTGTTCTATAGTAAATTTATATTCCTGTAGCAGTAAGGACCAGCGTGTCAGTCTGGCATTATTGAACCTACATTTATGAAGGTATTTTAGAGCACGCTGGTCCGTCTGCAGTACAAAGCTAGCGTTGTATAAATACAACGCTAGTTTGCCTGTGGCCCAGACAATTGCTAGGCACTCTCTTTCTATAGTAGAGTACCGAGTCTCTCTCGGTTGGAGTTTTCTACTGATGTATTTTACTGGTCTTAGGACCCCATTTCTCATTTGCATCAAGGCTGCCCCGATACCCCGTGACGAGGCGTCGGTCCTGAGAATAAATTGCTCATTAATATTAGGTAAAATAAGAAATGGTTCTGAGTTCAAGTGTTTCTGGACCAGTCTTAAAGCACGGTTACATTCATCCGACCACACGACCTTTTCAGGTTTACCCTTTGCTAACAAGTCTGTCAGTATTGCGTTGGCCTCGCTGAATTCTGGTATAAATTTAGCATAATACCCTATAAGACCCACTAATGATCTTACCTCTTTCTTTGTGGTGGGTATTGCTACGTTTAAGATTTTGTTTCCCTTGTTTCTCTCTGGTGTCAGTAGCCCCCTCCCCACTATGTGCCCTAGGAAATTAATTTTTTCAAACCCTAGCTCTAATTTGGCAGGTCTTACTGTCAGGCCCGCGTCCTTCAATCTATTGAACACCGCCTTTATTGCCATAAGGTGTTCCTCCCATGTCTCGCTGTAGATACAGATGTCATAAAAAAATGACACCACATTTTCCAAGTCTTTTAATACGACTCGCATTAATCTGGCGAATGTGGCGGGTGCCGTGCATAGGCCAAAGGGTAGGTAATTAAACTGAAATAGGCCTCAGGGTGTGACAAATGCGGTGAGTTTTTTGCTGTCATTTTGCATGGGGATCTGCCAATACCCTTTTGTGAGGTCGAGTTTAGTAAAATATTTTGCCCTATTTAATTTAGCGAACAGCTCATCTGTATCTGGGATGGGTTCCGCGTCGTAGACTGTGACTGCGTTAAGTCTCTTATAGTCTACACAGAACCTTGTCGACCCATCTTTTTTCTTAACTAGTACTACACGTGCGCTGAAGTCGGAGTCGGACCTCTCTATTATCCCCAGTCTCTCCATTTCGTCCATCTCTTTCTTCATAAGCTCTCTTCGGGCGTATGGTATGCAGTAGGGTTTCGTTCTTATTGCTCTGGTGTTGGTCAGTTTTATTTTATGTTCTAGTAAACTTGTTTTTTCAGGTAAGTTGCTAATTACAGCTGTGTACTCTTGGATAATTTTGTCTAGATCCGTCCGCTGTGTTTTTGTCAGGGTGTCTCCTATTTTGATATCACTTAACTTAGTTTCCTCCAGTATGTCGGGAGTTTTTATTGTGTCCAATGGAATACCCGGTTCCATGTCCTCCTCATCTGTTAGTGATACTTGGTTTTCTTCTTCTGCCTCCACCACTCCTGACACTGCCGCTAACATGGGGTGTCCCTTGCTGTCGTCTGGTTTTTGTCTGTGATGGTACAGCATCATCCGATTTACATGGACCACCTTAGTGCTGTCCCCTGTTTTAATAACATAGTCCAAGTCTCCGATTTTTTTTAAGACTTCGTAAGGTCCCGCCCACCTTAGCTCAAGTTTGTTTAATAGTTGGGGCTTCAATATCAGCACATGATCCCCCACTTTGATATCTTTGGTTGTGGCTGATCTATCGTAGTAGCTCTTTGCTTTATTTTTCTCATTTTTTGATTTGCGGGTTGCATAACTGCATGCCGTTTGCAACTGCTGCTTAAGGTCCAGCAGGTAGTCATATGCAGCTCTTGTCTTATATTCCCTTACTTCTCCTGTGAGGATATCCTTTAGGATGCTCATCGGGCCCCTCACTTTCCTGCCGAACATAAGTTCGAATGGCGGGTAACCAGTGCTTTCGTTTGGAACTTCTCTGTAGGCAAAAAGTGCTGCTAGGATGAACACGTCCCAATCGTCATCCTTGTCTATAGCTACTTTCTTTAGCATTTCCTTCAAAGTTCCATTCCATCGTTCTACCGCCCCGTTGGCCATGGCGTGATATGCCGAAGCGTGAATGATTTTAATCCCCAACATTTTAGACACGGTGCAGAAAATTTCCGACGTGAACTGTTTGACCTTCTCAGTGGCTTTTG